ATTATATATATAAATTTTTTTATTTAGCATATTTTAAAAAATTAGTTTTGAGACATTTTTTAATAAGTTATTGTTGTTTTGAATAATTTGTTCAATATATAAATAATTTATTAATTAATTAATAAGAAAGTATTGAAAATATTATTAGTGAAATAATATTTTCGGATGATATCTTGGAAAATTTAATTATTCGTAATTGGCATAAAATTTAGTAATTTTTAAATTACTAAATTGTAAGTTGTTAAATTATTTAAAATTTATGTTTACTGATGATAATAAGATGATTTGATATTCCTACTCAAATTATCCCCAATAACAATATTGTAAATAAAACAAAATTTTTAATGAAGCATTAAATTTGGTAAACACAATGAGAAAGATGTTTATTATTTCTTATTTGCAATTTAAGTAAAAAAAAAGAAGAGAGTGAAAGAATAATCAGACTCTTTTTATTCTCTGAGAATAATCGTCATATCAATCATTTGAACTCTGTGTTATTTTACATATTGAATATTGTTATTATATTATATTATTTATTTTAATTATATTGTTAGAAAAGATAATGTATATGTTAAGTTATGCAAAACATATCTTATAAATTAAAATTACTTCTTTTTATTATTGTTAATAATATTAATATATTATAATATAGGCACAAAGAAAATTTGAAAATGAAGTTGAAAATCGCCGTAAAGGAGAAGCTAAAGCACAAGAGTTATGGAATAGATTAGAACAGGAACAAGGTTTAAGAACACAAATGTCTGTTTCTTCTCAACAAATTAGTGAAAAAGTAGTTAATTTAGAAAAGCAACTAAGGGAACTGAATGATAAACTAAAAACTGAAGCTGATGTTAATGTAAAATTGAAGAAAGCTAATGGAGAATTATCATTGGTAAGTTTTATTATTTTAATTAAACAAATAATTATAAATATTTTAAAATAAAGATGTCAGTTTCTGTTTATATAGATTTTTAATTTTATTTTCTTTTATAAAAAAATATATTTTTATACTTATATTTTGTTACAATACATATAGTATACAGTAATTTCCATTTGTGTATATATATAATGGAGCATAGCTCAAAAATATTATTTAAAAATTTTTTTTAGTTTTAAGCAAGGAAAAGTAGTTCCTAGTTTTATATATTTTTTAGTTTATTAACTAACCACATTGATTAATTTATTTAATAATTTAATTATATGCATACAGCAGGGTGAGAAATTCAGAATATTTGTTATTTGTCCAGAGAGCACCATCTCTGTACTACTGGTTATCCTGTAATAAAACCATTTGCCCAACATATTTCTTTTTTTACACCCTTCCAGGTAATACAAAAACACTACCATGTTTACCTACAAATTAAAGCTTTTTTTTTTTTTTTTGCTTGTACACTGCAGTCATTTATTAGGTCTACACACAAAAAAAAGAAATTCTGAACATTGCCCACAGACTACAAANAAAAGCCTTCAGTAGATGACAAGCAATAAACTTTGTCCATATAAATATTAACATAATGTTGAAAACATTACACCATTATATTGCAAATACATTAGAAGATAGATGATAATTTTGATACCTAAAAATAAACTTTATGCTGTTAAGTTCGATGTTATAATATTTTGCTCTTGCTAGATAGTTTCTTTGTAAATATGGAAGATATTTTTTTTGTTATATATACTGCATTGTATATATTGTAATTATAATGAAACTCACATAAAAAAATTACAGCATTACAAAAGATTTTTGTAACTAATAATTTTGGCTATTTTGAAAGATCTTTATCAGATTACTCCAATAAAAACAACAAATAATACACATTAATAGAATATGAAAAAATAATAATTTCATAATATGGAAAGTTAGATTTGATTTTGATTTTCTTCTTGTACCAAATTTTGAAAATCTTTTTCTTTGCACATCCTAGTAACTTATTTGTTGTTGTTCTAATTGGAGTAGCCTGATGAAAATCTTTCATGATAACCAAAAATGCTAGTTGCAAATAAAATATTTTGTAAAGCTTGAATTTTAAGGTGTGAGTTTTGAGTTTCATTTGTACTGCATTTGTATATTTCTCTATTACTTAATATGTAATTGAGAAATTTAAAGATAATTAATTTAATAATTTATCTTTAAATTTGAGGTAGAGTTTGGTGACATATTGTAAAACTACGAGCCCTTAAAAGCTATATCACAGAGTAAGTTCAGAAAGAACAGTCAGTTTATTGTGCCATGATAATGCAACATTACATTGCAGTAAGGAAACAATGAAGACATTTAATAACCTGAAGTTATGGGTTATTCCTCATCACAGTCCAAATCTGACACTACCAGAATTCTGGCTTTTCCCAAAATTAAAGGTGCTGAAAGGTCAGTATTTTTCATTGGATGCCAAAGTTCAAGTCACTTTATAGGAAAGGATCAAGTAAACATCTGAAAGTTATTTTTGTGCATGGAATAAAAAATTGAATAGAATATATGGCAAAATATGTCAATTTAAATGGTGATTATATTGAAAAACTAATATATATGATTAAAAAAATAAATGAATTTTATTATTATTTAAAACATTACATTATTCTACTTCTTCCCAAACTAATTTTATAAAAGTAAAGAACTTATTTATCAATCAATTCTCATATAAGTTTATGTCTAATTTTATATTTTAAAATTAATATGTATTTCTTTTTATTTAAACAGACAAGGATGGCCAATAATATTTCTGTAAGTATTTTACAATAAATTTCAAGAAATACAGTCTATTATTTTATGGAATTTTAATTTATTTAATTTATTTATTTAATTATAATTAATTTTATGGAATTTTATAAAAATTATCATTATTAATAATTTAATATAAAAATTGTTAAAGATTTTCATATTTACACTTATTAATGAAGAATCTCTCATAGTTTTGTACATAGTTTTCACATCAGATTTTTATTAGGCAATTTTTACATAACAGAACTTGATATGTTTTCAAATAACATTCATTAAAACAGATAGAGATTTTTTGCTGTGCTTTAACAAAAAAAAAGAATCTTGGCTGATGTTATTTGATCACGCTTTCTCTCAGAAATCTTTCGTACTAGTGTAAATACAGGTTTTAAAAATCATACATTATGATAGGCACATTGAATTATTGTCTTAGAATTTAATAATATAACAAATGAATTAAACTAAATAAGTACTCTTTACATTGAGAAGTCATTTATAACACTTTGGTTATGGTAAACATATAATGATCACCCAAATGAAAGTGAGACTTTTAGTTTCTTTCTGTAATTGTTTATTGGTTGGAATATGTGAACAGGAAGTAATAGTGATACATGGACTATATACATATCCACTACACATAGTCATCATGTCAGTTCAAGCAAGTGCCCCAGAACATCACTAGCCTTTGGATATCCCCAGTGAAGAGCATCAGGCAGAGGAGTTAATCTTCAACGGCTTCTTGGACCTCAGCATTGTTGACAACTGGCAGCCCTTGAGAGCTTTTTTTCAAAGATGTGTAGTTGCAAGATACCAGGTCGGGCTAAAGGGGATGTTCAGGACCTTCCAATGGGAAGCACCATAACAAATCTTGGCGCAACTTGGGTATGCATNTTTTTTTTTTATTTTTGCTTGTACACTGCAGTCATTTATTAGGTCTACACACAAAAAAAAGAAATTCTGAACATTGCTCACAGACTACAAAGTGTTTGTTTATAGTAGGTGCTAACTTAGTTAAATAGAATATAAATTGGGGTCATCATCATTTGCAGTAATACCAGACTTACTATAACAGTGTAATAAGTCTGGTAATACTATGGATAATGAATAATGATGGCCATTCATGAAACTGTAAAACAACAACTAGGTATGAAACAAACACAAAAATATAAATTATTATTGAATGTGTTCAAAATTTGTCAGAAAGGTTTTTTTATTATTATTAAAGTAAAATTATATTTAAAAATTTAAACAAAAAGAATTCTGTAATAAAAAGTATACAAAAAATCTAACTCACAGATACAATAGGTTGACTGTATAAATATTATAGTGTAATAAATAGTAAATAATAATAAAACCATGTATATATTTTATCATAACAGTACAGACAAGTATAAGCTCAAGTTAGATTTTAAATTACTGGTTAGTATTTAATAACAAATAAACAATTTTAGGGTTAATTTTCCAATTTTAGTCAATTTTTTTTAAAAATATAGTTTAACCTGAAATTATGGAAATGTAGTATTACTATGTTAAATTATATGACAAGTAGAATTTTATATTTTTATGAATTAATGTTGTTTATAGGCAGTATATTTGATGATATCACAGAATTATGATTTCAAGCAGTATTAACTTGTATAAAAATTATATTGTATATAATTGATGTATAAATTGTTTTCCACTTATTTTTGTATAATTAAACTCATTTATTGAAAAGATTCAATATACAATTACCCCCTATAACATGGGTTCCTATAGTTCGGATTCCTATATCACGGCGAAAAAATTGCGACAGTATTCATACAAACATGCTAAAAACACTCCTATAATTCAGTAAAACGTCATCACTGACTCGTGTTGCAACAGGATTGGTCGAATCTAGACCAATAGTGGATATTGTACAAACCATTGAGTTTAAACGAGCAGCAGACCTACTAAAAACCATTTATTTTTTAACCGCCATAAAAATTATATTTATATTAATGATGTCTCCAAGGTTCAGCAAATTTTTCGCAAAAAAATAACTTATCAGAAAACATGCGCCCGCCGTTTAATGCACCGCTCCGTGATGAAAACAAGCTTAAGCAATGGCATCGTCAAACGGTGCACACTCGGTAAGTAATCCTACAATTTTTTGTTTATAGCATAGTTTATACAGATTATTCCCAAAAAATTATACATATTTTGGAAATGTTGAGTCGAATTAGTCTAGAATCGATTAATTTTATGGAAGAAACCTTTCAAACAGCCGTAGTCCGTAAACTGCATACGTGCCGGGCTGTGATTGACTGGACTCGTAGAAAATGGATTCATAAAAACCGGAACATATCTACCGTGTTATAGGAAGATCAACTGTATTAAATTATTGAATGTAATGTACTAAATTTCTTTCAGACAACATTAATGTTATCATCAAATTAAAAAGTTTTTTGTGAAAAATTAATATTTAATTTATAGTTCTGATTGATCACTTTAAAAACTTTTTAAATAAATGTTTAGAATTCTACTTTCTTTGTTGTTCAGTTTTAACAAAAACTAAAGTTTGACAATATAAAAGCACTTAAATATATATTTACTATTTAGAAAAATGCTAATAAAGAACAGTTACTTCAAGATTTAAATGAAAAAGTAACTGCTTTGCAAAACCTGACTGCTGCTCAAGAAAGAGAATTAATCAATCTTCAGACACAGTTAGAAAAAGAACATAGTTCATGGACTCAAGTGTCTGACAGATCGCAAGATTTAGAAAGTAATCTATTTTCTATAAATAAATTTTAAAAAAAAGTTTTTTTTTTTGTGAAATTTGTATTTTGATATTTATGCAATATTTTTTAGATCGTAAACAAGCTCTTCAAATTGAATTGGAAAGATTAAAAGAGAGAGAAGCTGCTACCATGAAAGAAAATATTAAAATTAATAATAGATGTTTAGAATTAGAAAAAGTAAGTAATTTTACTACTTATTTAAGACTAATTATGCTTGGAATGAAATAGATTATGAAAAAATAAATTTAAAAATGAAGTCATATTTGAACAACTTATATTCTGAATATAATTAAGTGTTATTTACTAATAAGTCTATACAGATTGTACTGGAAATTAATATATCTGTTGTTTGAAGAAACTGATTGAATGATATTAAAACTTAAAGCATAATGGATGATATATTTTCATCCAACTTATAAAAAAAAAAGGTGAATAAAATTTATTTAAACAGATTAGTGGCAAATAGCTGTTTTCCACTAATCTGTTTAATTTATTAATTGATTAGTTTAAAAAAAGAATCTAATAAAATTATTGGAGTGTTTTAATCAACATTCCAATAATTTACAATAGCAATAGTTTTAAAATTACTCATTAATTACTTAAACAGTTTAAAAACATTATTTGTAATTTTGATATTTTTATGGAATACAATTCCAGTACACTTTCAATATGATTATAGCTTAATTTTATTATGTACATTAAAAAAATTTATTTGAAAAATTAACAAGATTCCGTAAAATATATAACATTAGTATGACCAAAATATTTAGAAAATTACACTATTAAATTTTCAAAACTATTTTTACTACTTAAATAAAAACCTGTTATCTTCAAACTATCAATAATTTAAAAGAAATGTGTTATTTTAAATTTTGAAATTTGGAAGCAGACAAATTACAAGTAAAATTTTATATATATTGTAATTTCATTTAATGGAAGTAATCTCCATTAATGGAAATTACTAAATTTTTAATTGGTTTAATTGTTTTATGAAAGAAGTCAATGTAAGTATACATTGCTTTATTTAAACTTTTGCAAATAACGTAGTGAAATTTTCAGATAGAAAATAGTAATTATTAGATTATGGACCACATGCTTTCAAGAAATAACTCAATATTCTATCATTTGAATTAGCTTGACCTGATAGTTGCCTTAGAATTCACATGATTTTTGTGATGACAGCATTGAAATATATAGTTGCATATAGTACTATTAACAATAATATAAATTATTAATTAAATTTTTTTAATATTGGTTATCAAATATGTAAATAATTTAAATATATTAAATACTGTTAAAAAGATATAAATAATATAGCTATTATTACAGAAATTGCTTTTAGCCGTAAGTATAATTAAATTAATTAAAATATCTATAACCATAAGGCAGATAATAGTAAGGGCTTATCACACCAAACATTTAATAAAGCAAAAAGAGGTGTACCTCTTTTTGTTTTATTAAATGTTTTTACTTTGATTCTTGAGCATTTGTGCCCATTGTCATTGATGTGATAAGCCCTTACTATTATCTGCCTTATGGTTATAGATATTTTAATTAATTTAATTATANTGCAAATAACGTAGTGAAATTTTCAGATAGAAAATAGTAATTATTAGATTATGGACCACATGCTTTCAAGAAATAACTCAATATTCTATCATTTGAATTAGCTTGACCTGATAGTTGCCTTAGAATTCACATGATTTTTGTGATGACAGCATTGAAATATATAGTTGCATATAGTACTATTAACAATAATATAAATTATTAATTAAATTTTTTTAATATTGGTTATCAAATATGTAAATAATTTAAATATATTAAATACTGTTAAAAAGATATAAATAATATAGCTATTATTACAGAAATTGCTTTTAGCCGTAAGTATAATTAAATTAATTAAAATATCTATAACCATAAGGCAGATAATAGTAAGGGCTTATCACACCAAACATTTAATAAAGCAAAAAGAGGTGTACCTCTTTTTGTTTTATTAAATGTTTTTACTTTGATTCTTGAGCATTTGTGCCCATTGTCATTGATGTGATAAGCCCTTACTATTATCTGCCTTACAGTTATAGATATTTTAATTAATTTAAATATAGATATATTATAAATTTGATTATTATTTATATCAAATTAAGACGAAACAATGATAAACTTTTAAATAAATGCTAAAAAAAATAACAAACTTTCAAATATTTTGATTAATTATATTTGAATTGTCAAAATTGTAATGTGTAAAAATAAATGGAATTTTCTTTTGCCAATAAAATATTTTTGTAAATAGCAAGTATGTGTAATTAATCAAATGTTTGAAAATTTAATGTTTTCATTACTTTTTGTTACTTAGGAACGTAAAATGATGGACGTCGAATTGAAAAATTTTAAAAATAAATATGAACAAGAAGTAACTGCTCATCAAGAAGATGTTGCTGCTCTCACTGCTGACAAAAAGAAATTACTTTCTTCAACTGAAGAGGCTAATATGGAAGCTATACAAAGTAATATTATTAATCTTATAATTAATAACAAAATATAATAAATCTTATAATAAATACATTTTCTTCATTTTTCACACATTAATAAAACTGTAATAATTTAAATTTAAAAACAGATTTAGTATTTTGAGATAATTTGTAGTTACTATATACTTAAGTGATACAGCCAGATTAAATATTGGACTATAACCTGGCCATTTAATTATACATATATACATAATTTTGACTAAAGGTTAAGCTACTATCTTAAATTTAATAATTATAAACTTTTGTTTCAATAAATAGTGAAACCTCCATTAATGGACATTCTACTTAACGGACATTTTTACAATCCCCAGACCCTTCGAATAGGACATCTGTTTTATTCATCCCTAAATAACAGACACTGTTGTTCATAACAACCTTATGAAAACAACATGTCACCTTTAATGTTCTGAAACATATCAGTTAACCACATATGAAATATTTTAATATGAAAACAAAGAATTGGTTCAAATACTCTTTTAGACAACAAATTTTAACCATAGGTGTCAAATAAAGACTGGCTGAAAATAAGAATAGGAGAGGAGGACAAGTTGTTAAAACCTGAACAACACTCTTTTATCTGTTAGAGAATACTAATTTGGTTAAGTTGTCCCTCATAACTTAATGTCATACATATTAATGTTGTTAAACTTTCTGATATTGTCGAAATTAAGTTTATGGTACCAAGAAACATAAACTTTTCCTGAGTTATTCATTCTTTCAACAAGAACAGTAGTGTAGTAGTAATGAAAAAGAAACTTAAAGTGGTTACAACAACAGCATTTATATGGTGAAAGTTCAAAGGTTGTATAATGAAGGTGATTTACCAGCCACTTCAAAGTGTGGGAAGATATTTGGTATTCTTGCATTTATGATGTCATTTATTATACAAAATTAAAGCAAAATCGTTTGAAAAATTACAGCTACTTGATAACTAAACAGCAGATAAATCACTATATCAATTTTTATTAGTCTCTTAGATCATAAATGACATTATAAATGCTAGAATACCAAATACATTTCCATCCCTTGAAGTAATTAGCAAATTACCTTTGTAACTCAACATTTGAACTCTCGCTACCTAAGCCAACCTTCAGTCACCCTTCTGTTCATAATAACAGTTTCTTTTTTGTTATTTCTGCCCAAGTCATTTCTTATGAATTAATAATTAATCAACATTTATGTTTTGTCATAATTTTTATGTTCCATTTGATTAAAGTATTCTATTCAATCTGTTTCCTATTTAGAATTAACTTAAAATGTGATTTTACAGCTGGAAAGATAAATAATATACTGTATATATGTTTTAATTATATATGCTATGTATACTTTTTGGTATTTTCATATTCCTAACACAAATTTGATGATTTTGTAATCCATCTTTCACTATATGATGACTGCATTAAAATACAGAATGGCCGCCAACATGTACCTATCAGTAGTAGACAAACTTATCAGTTCCGATGATGTCTGCTTTCAATATTGTATTTGTTACATTTAAATCTGTTTTGTATTTTGACTTAACTTTTGTTTAAATATTTCTCTTACTATTATTTGAGTTCTAGTGCATAGTAATGTATTGTCAGTCAATATCTGAAATCTAAATCAAGATATTTAAAATTATAATTTTGTTTAATTTTATATTTATTATTTGTATATAAAGTTATCTTATTTGATTTTTAAATTGGTGTAGATTTTTAATAATATAAAAGTTCTTGTCAATTAATAATCTTTCTTATATCTAGAGAAGATAAAATCAGGCATCTCTTATATCAATCATAACAACTGTAGAATAACTTCAGAGCCAAGAAGCTATATTAAATATATTTTAGTTGGATAATTGAATTTCTGTTCATTTATAACATTTTAATTGTTCTCATTTTAAACTTGTAGGTAATATTTGGCACAATTTTAATTGGAAAATTTAGTTTTTATCTGCTATTGTAATTTAAAAGTCTTGTATCATTTTAACACTATTGTTCAAATATAGTTTTTGGATGATTTCTTCTTCTCACACAATTAACAATTCAATAAATTATTAATAATTTATGAAATCTGTTCAAAGTAAGACCAAGCTTTTGTCATAGTTTGCAAATCGTCACATTGATTGAGTTCTGGCAAGTGGTGGCTCCTAGTGACAAACTTTGGTAACACAACACCATTTGGTACGTCATACTACTCTGATCAATTGGTGGTCTAGAGCTGTTTAAGTAAACATGTGCAGTCACCACTCTGCAAAGTGAAGATAAAAAACTTTAAGGAGCAATGAATTTGTTTGAAATTTGCTTTAAGACTGCAAGTGTGGGCTTTGCTTCATCAGGCCTATGAGGACACTGTATGAGTTGTTTGCAGTGTCAAGAATGGTTTAAGCGTTTTAAATCGGGCAGAACATCGATTGAGGAAGATTCAGGATCAGGACAACTTTCAATGTCAACAAATGATGAAAACATCAATCCTATTTGTTCTGTGATTTGTACAAATCATCATTTGACTGTGCAAGAGGTTGCTAAGGAAGTCGGCATCAGCACCAGGTTGTGCCACAAAATTTTGACTGAAAAACTTAGCATGCATTGCATCTCTTCAAAATTTTGCCATGTCTGTTGGTTGATGATAAAAAAAAGAACTATATCATGGTGAGCCAAGAGCTGCTTCACCTTGCCAGTACTAACAAAAATTTTATGAAAACTATCATATCAGGAGACAAAACTTGTGTTTATGGCTACAACATAGAAACCAAGGCATAATCATCACAAGGGTTGGGCAAATGTTGCCTTGACTGAAAAAAGTATACCAGTTAGTAAAACTTGAGGTCATTGTTGATTGTTTTTTATTATTGGGGAATAGTTTATCGTGAATTTGTGACACAAGGATCTGACTGTTAACAATGAATTTTACATAGAAGTTTTAAGGCATTTGAGGAAATATGTGCTTTAGAAGAGGCCTGAGCTATGGGAAAACAAGCTGGGTGTTGCATCACAACAATGTGCCAAGTTGTGCATCTCTGCTTGTTGGCCAGTTTTTGGCCTCTAACAATGTGGTTGTCTTTTTTCACCTCCCATACTTTAGACTTTGCCCCTACAGACTTTTTCTGTTTCCAAAATTGAAAATCACCCTGAAAGGATGTTATTTTCAACATGTAAACAAGATTCAACCGAATTCTCAGAGACAACTATATGCCATCTCACAAACAAAGTTCCAGGGAGCATTCCAACAGTGGTAAAAATAATGGGAGCAGTGCATTGCAAGCAGATGGAGTACTTTGAAGAGGACAAACATGTATAATATTGTAATTATGGTAATAAAGTTTGTATGACAAAAATGATCTTTTTTTTGAACAGATTTCATACATGGCATAGTACCATAATAGTATGGCTACATATGATATATGATAGTAGAACACTGTAGTATGCCTTTGCTCATGTTTTGCCAATTATATCAGTGATGTATCATTGACATATCAGTTGTTGGTAATGGTGTGTGCTGTAGTGTTTATTTATACTGAAATTTTATTATTATATTAATCTCTGCTCTAAATAAGTTCATAAAACATGAGTTTTAGTTGGAAATATTTGTGGAAGTTGCAAGAGTTGAAATATGATGTACACTGATGTTAGGACTACTGTTGCACTCGTTTAACACACTACAGTAAAAGTTTGTATTTCATATCCCATATAAATTCATCTTAATTTTAGACAGAGTTTTCTTTTAAGGCTTAAACTCAAAAAGTTGACAATTATATAGTGGCATATATGGTAAATTATTTTGTTTGTTAAATATACTCTTAAACATACATCAAAAATGTTGCATAAATTGTAGTAGTAACAAGTATTTATTGAAAATACTGTTAAAAAGTCATTACTTAAGTTTGATTTTCAAAAATAAATTTAAAATTTTCTAAATATTTTATTAAACATTACACAGATCTTCAAACTAAATTAAATGAAGAGAAAGCTCTTCGTCAGAAAGCAGAAGCTGCTAGTCAAGAGAAAGAATGCCAAATATCTGGATTAACTTTTGATTATTGTCAATTGAAACAGCAAATACAGAAATTAGAAGGAGAGTATAGGCAAGAATTAGAAAGGGTATAAATTTATATATTTTTTTTTCTGTGTATTGTTAAGAAATAAATGTTAAGTGTTTTCTTTTCCAATATTATAAGAGTAATAATTAATAAACTAAATAATGTAATAAACTAAAAATTACATAATTTAGAAAATAATGAAATTTAAATTATATCTGATAAGTAATAAGTAATTAATATTATATAAATATATATTTTTAATTTGTTTATATTTTAGGTAAAATCTCTAAGTAATCAGTTAGAAGAAGAATCACAAAAACGAAATACACTACAAACAGAAAATTCTCATCAGTCTTCAGAATTAAACTTATTAAGATCCAAAGAAAAGCAATTAAATAAAGAATTAACTGATTTACGCTCAACAAAGAAGAATTTAGAACAAGATCTTTATAGACTTAAAGCGTAAGATTTGTATTAAAATTTTTACATTTGACATAAAAATTTCTATATATTTCGTGCAAATTATTATTATTAATTTAATTTTATCTAATGTAAAAAAAAACTAAAAATTAATAAATAATTTAAGGTTTGTTCAAGAAATGTATTTTTAATGAAAAAGAATTCATTTATGTCAATAAATATACTAGACTTAAATTTTTTAACATTAAACTTGAAACTAATATAAGATTTCACTATAGTTTTCTACAAAAAAATATAACTTTAATAATTAATATTAAAAATTTCTTATGATGCAAGAAGTTGGAATATATTTAAAACATTATAAGAAAATTTTATTGTTTTGTTTCTAATAGAAATTGTAAGTTATAGAAAATTGTAGCTAAAGCTTATCTTACTTACTTGTTAGTTTTATGTGTAATTTTAAATTTAACATTTTAATCTGAAGAACTATTATAATTATGTTGTTGAAGAGTAGACTGTCATCTTGTTTTATCAAACCAAAAGATATTTGAAATTGATATTTTAGAATGCTTAAACATTTTTTAATATGTTCTAAAAATGTATAGCACTNAGATATTTGAAATTGATAATTTAGAATGCTTAAACATTTCTTAATATGTTCTAAAAAATGTATAGCACTGAAGTTGAGCTAAAATAAGCTTCAAAAGTGTTCAGCTATTTAACATTTAAAAGAAATATTTTAATTAAATGTTGGTTGTAATCAACAATAGTTTTGTAGAAATCAGTGTTATTTTTAAGATTCTGGCAGCATTAAGAATTTTTGCAGAAAGAAATTCTATTGCAAACAATTTAGTTCTATAAGATCCTTTATATATATCTATCAAGTTTTATAATTATTTTACCTTAAGGCCCTGTACACACTAGACGTTTTTCAACGTGCGTTTTAAAGAACCAAGAGTTCTATGTAGCCGTACACACTCAAACGCCAAGCGCGCGTTAAACGCGCGTTTATAGAGTTTTGTTAAAACGCGCGTTTTGCGGGCACTTTTCGGGCGCTTTGAGATATATGTGCTGCCTTATAGCGACGATGGAGGAGCACACACAATCAATTACTTTCTCGTCCATTTCCAAACTGAGCCAGTGCTAAANATCCTTCCACGACGAAGCAAACACGCGGACTGAGACCAATGAACAGAAGTGAATAAAAAATGGCGCTGCGAACTAATGCAACGTCGTATGGTGAGTTTTTGTTCGTATCATGGAGCAAAAATATGTTGGAATTTTGTGCCGTATCCTGAAAATTTCGTATGCTGGGGCGTTCGTATCCTGAGGTACCACTGTATTATTATTCATTTGGCCCATAAATTATTATTTGGTCAATATAACAATATAAATAATTCAGTACATTTGTAATAGGAATTTATTATTTCAGGGGCTTATATCTCTCGAAGGGTCGCGAGTAGGGGTATGGTTCCTTTGACTTTATTGTTAGTACAGGGGNCCACAAAGAGTGAAATTCACATTGTGGCTTTCTTGATATTTGACTACTACACGTTGTGGTGATTAAGCGTTCTTAACATTAGCTGATCCAACCACAATATGACGGACAGGTTGAAATTGGTTAGAATGTTTTAGTTAGGGTGCTTGAAGTTAATAGGGACGTGCAGCTTCCAGAAATGTTTTAGCTGTTGTTATGAGCATTAATCCATCAGTTCTCTATCAGTTAGGAAACAAGGAAGGTCTTCTTGATCGATTTTATGCTCGTAATGAATTTACAATTTCTGAGAGTAAATTTATTAATATTCAGGACGTACCCTCAATTTCATTAATACTTTCTCAGCATCCATTTTAACAACTGGAAGTAAGGAAGGGTTTATAATGTGTCACTGTAAAAGATATGGTATTGATCAAAAATGCAAATGCCACTCAAAGAACATAAAATGCAACTCGAAATATCACGGTAATAGTTCTTGTAAAAATAAATAACACTGCAACATCCTTGATTCTCATAAAAAAAAAGACTGATTTATTAACTCCTTAAGGACATTGACATTTTTTATATAGATTTCAATTAAACGTAAAAAATACTTAAAACAGAAAAAAAACGAAAGAAATGCGTTTATTTTGAAGAAAAAGCTTTAAATTTTATTTTCCTTTGTTTCGCCTGTCTGTGAAATGTAACACCGATGAGTCATTGTTTACACAGCTGGGTGACCTTGAACACAGCTGGAGTCCGATTTCCCGGGACNTTGCCCCCTTCCTGCCAAACTAAACCATAGATCTACTTTAATGTACTACTTTATGTAAGGTAATGATCAGTTATCTTAACAACCCCAGTCCCAAATTGTTTCAGATAATAGGATAATAGATGCTCTACTGTAATAATATGAAATTTTTTAAAATTTTAGTTGCAAATTGTTCAATTCTTAACTATAATTAAATATATATGTGTGTATATATATATATGTGGGTCTTTGAGCCTAATGCGCGCACGCGCGCGTGTGTGTGTGTGTGTGTGTGTTAGACTCAAAGACCAAAAACACTCTTTGAGTGAAAAAACGACCACAACGTGTTGTGGTCTCTTTAAATCATCCACAACACAAAATTTGCATCATGGCACTTGTAAAAACAGCCACAACACATTGCAGCAAATTCAAAATGACCACAAAGAGTGAAATTCACATTGTGGCTTTCTTGATATTTGACTACTACACGTTGTGGTGATTAAGCGTTCTTAACATTAGCTGATCCAACCACGATATGACGGACAGGTTGAAATTGGTTAGAATGTTTTAGTTAGGGTGCCTGATGTTAATAGGGATGTGCAGCTTTCAGAAATGTTTTAGCCGTTGTTATGAGCATTAATCCATCAGTTCTCTATCAGTTAGGAAACAAGGAAGGTCTTCTTGATTGATTTTATGCTCGTAATGAATTTACAATTTTTGAGAGTAAATTTATTAACATTCAGGACGTACCCTCAATTTCATTAACACTTTCTCAGCATCCATTTTAACATCTGGAAGTAAGGAAGGGTTTATAATGTGTCACTGTAAAAGATATGGTATTGATCAAAAATGCAAATGCCACTCAAAGAACATAAAACGCAACTCGAAATATCACGGTAATAGTTCTTGTAAAAATAAATAACTCTGCAACATCCTTGATTCTCATAAACAAAAGACTGATTTATTAATAAAAGTTCCTGACAATGTAATTATTTCTAGTAAATTAGTTGTTTGAGAATGTTGACATCTCGAGTACCACAACAGATTTTCATGAATGATTAAATGTTGTTGAAAAGTAACCAAGTTACATTTTTGTATGTGGTGAATAATTTTGTTACCTACTTATATAAGATAATTGAAGATACATAAATCATAATGAAAAAGAAAGTTTTATTTTCTTATCATAACCTCATTATTAGTTAACACCCAAAACTTTGTGGTGGCTTTTAACTATAGTAAATCCGTTGCACAATGGTTTTTAACTTTACCAGCTGATTTTTGTCATCATATAGAGTACATCAAGCACCTACAAGTACATGTAGTTTGACCTTTAACACTTTTAAGCAAAACAAAAAAAAACAAATGTGTATTTTCTTCGTACATTTTACTTCTTTGAAATTTTTTTAAGTATGAAAATTAATTTATAGGAAAACTTGTAGAACTAATGTTGTTCAGCATTAAAAATTGTATATAAAAATATTTTGAGGCATATTTTAAAGTTTCAAACCACTGTGTGTCATATCACCCTTTATCATGGTTGCATCAGCTAATGTTCAGAATGCATTGTGGCTTTTTTTACAAGTGCCATGATGCAAATTTAGCATTGTGGATGATTTAAAGAGACCACAACACGTGGTATTTTTTTTTTTTACTCATTGAGTGTTTTTAGTCTTTGAGCCTAACATATATATATATAAATTAGAATTACAAATATGTTAAGAATAGGGATCGAAAATCATTACAGATGAATTTTTTATTCTCATTTTCATTTCAAAAGTTGTTTGTTAGTGTTTAACAATTGTAAAAAGATGCAAAAAACTTTTCATCACTTAAGATAGTAAACTTTCTGTATTTGTAAGCAGCTATGNAGTATGAAAATTAATTTATAGGAAAACTTGTAGAACTAATGTTGTTCAGCATTAAAAATTGTATATAAAAATATTTTGAGGCATATTTTAAAGTTACAAACCACTGTGTGTCATATCACCCTTTATCATGGTTGCATCAGCTAATGTTCAGAATGCATTGTGGCTTTTTTTACAAGTGCCATGATGCAAATTTAGCATTGTGGATGATTTAAAGAGACCACAACACGTGGTATTTTTTTTTTTTACTCATTGAGTGTTTTTAGTCTTTGAGCCTAACATATATATATATAAATTAGAATTACAAATATGTTAAGAATAGGGATCGAAAATCATTACAGATGAATTTTTTATTCTCATTTTCATTTCAAAAGTTGTTTGTTAGTGTTTAACAATTGTAAAAAGATGCAAAAAACTTTTCATCACTTAAGATAGTAAACTTTCTGTATTTGTAAGCAGCTATGGACACAAAAAATGATCATGGAGCAGTTCTATATCTCTGCTAACTATAACAATGTTTATCTAGCCAGTAAATATACTAGCCTATAGAACATTACACCTACTACAATAATACAATAAATAATACCTACTACAATAATAAGTATTTATATATCTAAATATAATAACTTTTAAGAATGACTTATAAATTTTTATTTATTGTTACTGTAAGTTTTACTTTTCTTTGAAATAATTTTATTTTTAACAATTATCATTAGTTTTTTTCATTTCTAATTTTAGTATTAAATATAAGATTTTTATTCNTTTAATGCTATTTTTATTCTTACAGAAATAGAATAAATCATCTCTTACAATTAGTTAATGCTGCAGTAGATACCGAAGCATCTGCTCGATCGATTGCTGAAGAAACAGTTGCAGATTTGGAGAAAGTGAAAACAATGAAAGAAATTGAAATAAAAGAATTAATATCAAGACATCGTAATGAAATATCTAATAAAGACACAGCATTGCAATTGGTATTTTTCTTGTTTAATAATAGTAATTCTTAGATAAGAAGTGATTTTTATTTAGTTTGTTGTTGTTTTTTCAGTCATTAGTTTCTAATTTGGACTGTTCTAAATGGACTTTTAAATATAAAAAATTCAATAATCTTTTATTTTGATCAGAATTGTTTTGTATAAGTGCGTTGATCCTTGATATAATGGAGTAATGGGGAAGTGATGATTCAATAATATGATTCATCCATTGTATCTGAAGAATATAATAATAATCACAATATAAGAAAAATGTATAATAAACCTTTTCAAGATCTTTTATTCTTCATCTCAATATTTTTTCTAGTAGTCACAGAACCTGATTTGGTAGCATTACCATTGATACTGGTCTTCAAGATAAAACAGTTTGTGCTTTGCCTTAAATCTATCAAGACTGTTAATTCCCTCTCCAAGTAGTAACTTTTTGATAATAATTTAGAGTGAGGATTTTTCATTTCAACCTCTACCTTCTTTATTAATGCCAATTTCTAAGCAACTGTCAGATTTATAAGCTTTTTCTATCCTTTTTTTAGATGTGAACAGCTACAAAGTGAACTTTAAGAGATGTGATAAAAGAGAGAAGTAGGTTGCATTAATGGAAGCTAATAACAAAATACTTCTAAGTAATGATGTAAATAACAGCTGTCAACATTATCTAACAGACAAACTGTGCCAGGCATGTTAACAATCTGATATTTCTAAATGATGATTCATTTTTAAATTATGCCTTGAAACCATAGATTAATTTGTTGTTTTCAAAATACATTACATCAGGATTCATAAAATCAAGGGTCAACAGCTTATGTATAAATAATTATTAGAAATTTTAAAAAATAATACTATTTTAAAATGTCTTCATTATAATTGAAATAGGTGAAAGATAAAGAAAATGAATATAAGAAAAATATAGAACAGCTGACAAGAGAAAAGGAGGAATTAAATATTAAAATCAAATCTCTACAGGATGGTAAGTTTATTGTAGAAATTTTCTTTATTGAAAAGAGTTTAAATCATTTAATTCCTAATGATAGTTCTTAAAGATTTTATAGGAAAGAAATATTGTACAATTTATTGATTTAATTTGACTACACTAAATAAATTACATAAAAATAAACACATTAAATATAGAGCGTTTTAAAATAGTTGTCAGGTATTTTTTATTTTTTACAAAATTAATTCATTCATTGTCCAAAATAGTTCCAACATTTATAAAATTTATCCACTATATTTAGTTGAATTCAGTATTGTTTCAAAAACTAATCAAATATTTGTCATATTATTGAAGAAGAGATGATAATGTAAGAAGATTGACAACAAAATTCGAAATAAGGAAAAAAAAATTTTGAGGTTTCTAAGAAAATTTTGTGAACTGTTTATCATAGAAAAAAAATAAGAAAATATTACAATAAAAATAAATTTTCAAATTTGTTAACAAGTATCTACATGTTATTTAAGCTGTTGTTTAATTTCAAATAATAAAACACTGCCAGAAACAGCAAAATAATGTAAGTGTAGTGTTTTCAGCAGCTGTCTTATAGGCCATGTTCTTTAGTATAGAATTATAGAACATTTCACAATTATTTAAAAATTTGAAAGACATTTTTATCTTGTAGTATTGTTTTTTTCATTATAATATATAACATGATAGCAATTGTTATATTCAATTCTTTCTTATTTTTAAATAATGGTTGAATGTTCTGTAATTCAACATTAAATAATTCCTGAAGATGATCTGTAACGACATTAGTTTTAACATTATTTAAGAAGTATTATTTTTTATTAAAGGTAAGAATTAAAATTTTCTGAATTAATATTACCAATCATTGAACTTAAGTAAGTAACTTTTTCATTGCTGCTTAGTAGGAAATGACTATTGCACATCTTGATTCTTCCAGTGTTCTATCAATTACATAGTGTTGCAATTATTTCATTGGAGTACCAATTGAATTCATTGTATTGATAGCCTATGATGCAGCAANCTGTTTATCATAGAAAAAAAATAAGAAAATATTACAATAAAAATAAATTTTCAAATTTGTTAACAAGTATCTACATGTTATTTAAGCTGTTGTTTAATTTCAAATAATAAAACACTGCCAGAAACAGCAAAATAATGTAAGTGTAGTGTTTTCAGCAGCTGTCTTATAGGCCATGTTCTTTAGTATAGAATTATAGAACATTTCACAATTATTTAAAAATTTGAAAGACATTTTTATCTTGTAGTATTGTTTTTTTCATTATAATATATAACATGATAGCAATTGTTATATTCAATTCTTTCTTATTTTTAAATAATGGTTGAATGTTCTGTAATTCAACATTAAATAATTCCTGAAGATGATCTGTAACGACATTAGTTTTAACATTATTTAAGAAGTATTATTTTTTATTAAAGGTAAGAATTAAAATTTTCTGAATTAATATTACCAATCATTGAACTTAAGTAAGTAACTTTTTCATTGCTGCTTAGTAGGAAATGACTATTGCACATCTTGATTCTTCCAGTGTTCTATCAATTACATAGTGTTGCAATTATTTCATTGGAGTACCAATTGAATTCATTGTATTGATAGCCTATGATGCAGCAAAATAAGTTATAAATAGTTCCATATTTAACTGTGTGTGATTGTTATATTAATGCAGATACACAAAATATTCAGCAAGTTTTAATATAGCACTTTCAGATATCAGGTTCTCTAATTAGGATAGTTATATGATATCTGTATCTCTGACATATTTTAATTTAATAAAAGTAACAATGTATTAAAAATATTCTTATATACATTTTTAGATCTAAATAATGCTAGAAATCAGAGTGCCACTGTTGATGATCGAATACAACAATTAAATAAACAGTTAGATCAAGAAAGAATGTTGAAAATGCAAGTAAGTATGATTTGAATTAAATAAAATGATCAATTTAGTAAATTTCAAGTGATTGAAAATTATTATTCATAACAATTTTATTTTAACAATAAATTTAGAAAGTTTTTGAAATAAATAAATAAATATATTACATTATTTGTTTTAGGCTGTAAATAAATTAGCCGAAATCATGAATCGTAAAGATTTGTCTGGTAAGAAAAATAAAACAAATTCTATCGATCTACGTAAAAAAGAAAAAGAGTGTCGTAAATTACAGCAAGAACTTACTTTGGTTAGTTTTCTGATGTTATTTTTTATGACGTTTAATCATTTAAACAAAAATTGAAGTGATTCTTAAATTTTCTTTTTAGGAACGTGAAAAATATAATCAAATGGTTGCAAGATTTCAGAAAGAATTATCTGAAATACAGGCTCTTTTGAATGATGAAAGCCAGTCCAGACTAAAACTACAAATGGAATTGGATTCTAAAGACTATGTAATTGAACAATTACAAAAATCCTCTCTCTATAGTGAAACAGCAAGCATAAACAGTGGCCCAGATAATGATATTGATGATGGATTTCCTGGTAAATCATTTAAATTTATAAATATTAAATTAATATTTTTTATAGATCACATATAATGATGTAATTTATGATATATTCCTGAATTATATTGTTGTTGTTGTTGTTGTTGTTGTTGTTGTCGTCATCATATAAGGTATATGCTAGTTTATATCATGTACAGGTATCCTTCATATAACAGTTTGAGAATTGGGGATATCCTTTGTACAACATGGTTTTGCTCTAACATGATTCAAGAACATCCCCAAACAAAACATCACAATTTTTAAATGCAAACCCCCATCATTTGATATTTTTTTATTACATTTGCTATCTTATATTTTCCTGCAAATTTTAGAATATTGAAATTTTTAATGTTGTTTTGTGTCTTTCAAAATCCAGTTTACTTGAATGAGAACTGATTGTACAATATTTTTTCTTCCTTGTCCTATCTTATTCTAGCTCTCCTATAAACCAGGTATTGCTGTTGTTGGTTATAGTGCTATAAATGGACTCTAAAGACTGTTGCTGTGCTTTATTTTTTATAGATTAAATTAATAGTTACTACAGAAAAAAGATGAAATTTTTTAAAGATAGGCAAATGCAAATTAAATCAAATTTAAAAATATCAGATTTTATGGAGAAAAAAATTAAGATGTTGCTGATAATTGAGATTAAGACCAACAGAAAAGCTGAGAAAATGATGATATTTTGCCAAAAAAGAAAATGTCCTGAATTAATGGTGTATAGCAGTGAAGAAAAAATTAATTTAATGTGCAGTACTTTTGATTGTGATTGTTAGTTAATTATTGATTGTTTTAATAAATATATTTCTCTTAATTATGAAACAAATAATACACTTTTGCTAACTTTTGGAACCTAACTCTATGTTTTGTTTTAATTCTTTGTTTCATATAGCAGGGATTTGCATAAAATGTCACTTTTCAGAGCCTACCGTGTTATATGATGGATAACTGTACTTCATATTTTTAAAAACTGCAGATGATAAGTCAGTTTATATATAATAAATATTTAATACTAAAATAAAAAATAATTTCTCTGTCTAAAAAGTAATTATTATGTATTAGTATTAAATTTTTAAAACAAAATTTATTAAGAGAAATTGTATATCAAATAATGAATTTCTAATCTTTTGAAACAAACTTTTCATATAAAATTCTAAAATAAATAAAATTGTGTGTTGCTATTGAATTTTAAATCATGGTGCTAATTAAGAATTTTTTTCAAGGTTCTTTTTCCTAATCAGTTTAATTGTTGAGATTTTGAATAACTGTAATATGTAATTTTTTATCAAGCTGATAAAAGTAACAGAGGGAAAGTATTGAATTGACCCAATTTTGACCCACTGAATTTTTTGCATTTTTCAACATTTTAAGATCTTCAAAAATTCTATGTTTGTTGGCTTGTATTTTGCTTTGTATCTCAGGACTCCATAGATCAAAAATTTTGAAATATGTCAGGAATACTACTAAGTAGGGTGCATTGATGTTTCTACATTTTGGAGATTTATCGTTGAGGGGAAGGAGAGATAGGGAGTAAGAGGTCATATCTCAAATGGGGTCTGACTTAATGAAAGCTTTATTTGTTTTTGGCACTTAAAAACTTTTTGAAACCCATTCCTATCCTTGAAATGTAAGGCTTTTGTCATTTTTTTAATCTCACTTATAGAAGAATTTTTTATAATTGAAAATTATTTGACTTTCTGGTTCCCTTGACCTTCTGTTTGAGTGGCAGGAAACTTTTGCAAGAGCCCTTGCCAATTTCTTTTTACTAATGATCAGTTTTATTATTGTGATTAGAGAATTTAAATTGTAAAATTTGAGTAATATTACAATAGATATTGTAAAACTTACTTTTTATTTTGTATTTAGGAAGTCTACTGAAAGCATTTCTAGTTTAATAGAGTTTTTTTTTTTTTTATAATGAACTTTTGTTGCTAGGGTTTGTTTCTTGTTAACAAATTTTCAAGGCCCATAATGTTATTTGTTGTTTAAATTGTTTTTGTTAAACTTTTAATTTAACATTTGGTTCATATACATGAATTTACTTGTTAGAATATTTAGAAAATATTAAAGCATCAATGACAAAAAATCCTTTAAATTTGATTTGGAATTGAAGTGCTAATGATCATACTTATAAATTTAGTCTGATTAATATGTTATAGTATTTTATTTATGTTACCCATTTTAATGATAGTTAATAATAATTTAAATTACTGGTAATAATAATGTTATTTTTTAAACAATCATTTCTTTTGTTAGCATTTTATTGAAAGAAAGATGCTTTGTAATTCTTTTCTTGCATAGAATTTATTGTATATGCAATATCTTTTTCATACTTTTTATTTTTTCAGAGTTTCGTTNCGGAAGGAGCACGAAGGGTGAAGTGAGCCGACCACGTGCAAAGGTCAATGACCTTTCACTTCTTTGTTCAATGAAGATATGAAAACTAGTATAACTTTAAAACTATTAACCGTGGCGACACAGAAATTTATACAGACGAAGACAAGGGTATGGCCAAAGAACTACCCGAAAATGGTAAGGATCGGTGGCCCGAGAAGCCCGTGGGACGGCCCGATCTGAAACAACTTCCGATCGAGAAAGAACACGATTAAAACGACGGATCAAAAGACCGACGACGGCGTTGGAGAGCCCTTGAAAAGGCGAGAAGGATGATATATTACTCAACCACTCACCGGTAAAAACCACCCGAAGAAGGCGGTCAAAAAACTCGGAATTTCCGGGTGTCGTAATGCCTGTCCCCCTGGACGAAACCGGAAAAACTAGACGTCAAACGGTAGATAATGATGAGATGAATCCAATGGTGTGAATTAATCCTCGGATTGAAGCACAATAATCCGGATGCGGCGATCGTAAGTCGGAGCTCACTCTCGCACGTCTTGACCACTCGAAGACCTCCGATTTGCTCCGTACTTTTGATTGTGATTGTTAGTTAATTATTGATTGTTTTAATAAATATATTTCTCTTAATTATGAAACAAATAATACACTTTTGCTAACTTTTGGAACCTAACTCTATGTTTTGTTTTAATTCTTTGTTTCATATAGCAGGGATTTGCATAAAATGTCACTTTTCAGAGCCTACCGTGTTATATGATGGATAACTGTACTTCATATTTTTAAAAACTGCAGATGATAAGTCAGTTTATATATAATAAATATTTAATACTAAAATAAAAAATAATTTCTCTGTCTAAAAAGTAATTATTATGTATTAGTATTAAATTTTTAAAACAAAATTTATTAAGAGAAATTGTATATCAAATAATGAATTTCTAATCTTTTGAAACAAACTTTTCATATAAAATTCTAAAATAAATAAAATTGTATGTTGCTATTGAATTTTAAATCATGGTGCTAATTAAGAATTTTTTTCAAGGTTCTTTTTCCTAATTAGTTTAATTGTTGAGATTTTGAATAACTGTAATATGTAATTTTTTATCAAGCTGATAAAAGTAACAGAGGGAAAGTATTGAATTGACCCAATTTTGACCCACTGAATTTTTTGCATTTTTCAACATTTTAAGATCTTCAAAAATTCTATGTTTGTTGGCTTGTATTTTGCTTTGTATCTCAGGACTCCATAGATCAAAAATTTTGAAATATGTCAGGAATACTACTAAGTAGGGTGCATTGATGTTTCTACATTTTGGAGATTTATCGTTGAGGGGAAGGAGAGATAGGGAGTAAGAGGTCATATCTCAAATGGGGTCTGACTTAATGAAAGCTTTATTTGTTTTTGGCACTTAAAAACTTTTTGAAACCCATTCCTATCCTTGAAATGTAAGGCTTTTGTCATTTTTTTAATCTCACTTATAGAAGAATTTTTTATAATTGAAAATTATTTGACTTTCTGGTTCCCTTGACCTTCTGTTTGAGTGGCAGGAAACTTTTGCAAGAGCCCTTGCCAATTTCTTTTTACTAATGATTAGTTTTATTATTGTGATTAGTGAATTAAAATTGTAAAATTTGAGTAATATTACAACAGATATTATAAAACTTACTTTTTATTTTGTATTTAGGAAGTCTAGTGAAAGCATTTCTAGTTTAATAGAGTTTTTTTTTTTTTTATAATGAACTTTTGTTGCTAGGGTTTGTTTCTTGTTAACAAATTTTCAAGGCCCATAATGTTATTTGTTGTTTAAATTGTTTTTGTTAAACATTTAATTTAACATTTGGTTCATATACATGAATTTACTTGTTAGAATATTTAGAAAATATTAAAGCATCAATGACAAAAAATCCTTTAAATTTGATTTGGAATTGAAGTGCTAATGATCATACTTATAAATTTAGTCTGATTAATATGTTATAGTATTTTATTTATGTTACCCATTATAATGATAGTTAATAATAATTTAAATTACTGGTAATAATAATGTTATTTTTTAAACAATCATTTCTTTTGTTAGCATTTTATTGAAAGAAAGATGCTTTGTAATTCTTTTCTTGCATAGAATTTATTGTATATGCAATATCTTTTTCATACTTTTTATTTTTTCAGAGTTTCGTTTAGAAGGATGGCTTTCAGTACCAAATAAGCATAACATTCGTAGACATGGGTGGAAGAAACAATATGTCGTAGTAAGCCGTCGTAAAATAATTTTCTACAACAGTGAAACTGACAAGGCAAATGCTGATCCAATTCTTATTCTAGACTTAAAGTAAGATATAAATAAATTGTTATTTAGTATTTTATATTTATTTAAATCTTAAGGTTAAATTCTAATACACAACAGATAATTAATCTATTCTATTATCCCTTAATAACATAGTTTGACCATGACAAAATAATTTCATTAAATTCATTTTGTTTGCAAAATTTTAATATCTGTTATGTGGCAACAGTTAAATTCTTCAGGACAAATTATCATTAACAAAATAAAACAAAATTAGTAGAATTTTCTATTTTAATTTAAAATAAATGTGTTTTTTATGTTTATCTCTCAGTATGAATTAAAACTTATTTAAGTTAAAATATTATTTATTCATTTTAATTTACTAGTACAGAAAATTAGTATTTTGTTTGATATGGATATGTTACATTATGTTCAGGGTTCCTATGCACCTGGAAAGTCAGGGATTTTCATTAGTGTTCAGAAAAAATCTAAGAAAAAAATCATTGAAAGTTAGGGAATTTCTCCTTAGCTGCCTTGCTGATTTCATTTGCTGAATATGGCTGACCAAGCGTAGCCATCTGCAGGTGGCAAGAAGTGATGCTGCAATCTTTAATAAGAAAATATACCGGAATCTATTTTGAAATGGCTTTATTCACCATTCTGAAGCCATATAATTTTACAGTTGTGGATTAATAACAGGTTAAAGGGTTAAAATAAATAAATTTTGTCTGTATTTTTGAGAAAATTTAATGCAAAATTAAATAAATAATAAATAAAAATTATTAAAAATAATTACTAAAACTCTGGTTTTTACACCAAAACTAAAATCAAAATGGCAGCAATAGAACATTTTTTTTCTTTTAATGAGTTGCCAATTCAGCTAATTTTTTTGCTAGATTTAGTGGATTTATAAACAATCTAGCTAAAAAAATCAAACAATTCGAATGGAAACAATATGATTTGGTATTTTTATTAAAATGTCTAGCTGTAAATTTGAATTTTGAGTTGGCAGCACTACTTTTAATTAATATATATGCAAATGCAGATTAGATGTCGTTTGAATATTTTACATAGTGTTGTGACAAATCAAGTCTTACACATTGCTATCTGATCTGATTCATCTGTCTTTTAATATTATTATTCAAAGTTTGTTTTTCTACATTTTTAAATTATAATGGCATGGAAACAAATGAGGTTTAATCTCCAATGGCTGGATCCAGCTATTCATCCAAAATTCAATTCCTGGTTAGGAACTGTAAAAGATGCAGCAAAAATATCAAAAGCACTCAGCAACTAAATAAAGAGAAACAAAACACCTTTTTTGCCAAGAAATAAATATAATTTTAAAAAACAAACGTTTTCAGCCTAGTTAATAGTCCATCTTCAGGTCGAAAACTAAAATGGAACATAAATGTTCCATGAATAGAACATAAAAATTTTAAATCAAAAATTTTACAAGAGAAAAAATAACGGAAGAATATATAAAAATTAAAATAAAACAATAAAACAAAAATAACATAAATCTTCAATGTACTAATTCTGGTCGAAGTTTCTAGTAAATTTCTTAACCAAATATTTCCATGCCGAAGGTAGGCTCTCCGCATCCCTCGCATTTAAACAGCCTTCTCCTATCTTACTTCNTACTAGGCTCACAAAATTTACTTATAATAGTAGTATGAATAGTGTTATGAAAGGAATTGCTAGTCGAAAGGAATCAAGAATGGTTTTAAGAAGAGCCCCTAATTTGTATAAGATCTTGAGAAATGATAAGGATAACATCAAAGCGGAGGAGAAAGCAGGGGTGTATAAGATTCCTTATGAGAACTTACAACTGGATGTTAAAAAAGATTATATCGGCGTCACCACCAGAAACTTGGGAGTAAGGCTCAAAGAACATAGATATGCCATAAGAAAAGCGTCTAATTCAACGGTTTTGTCACAAATGGCGCAAGCGCAAGGCTCTGAGATAAAATGGGATGAGGCAACAATCATCAAACCTCTGTCTTCCCCAACTCTAGCAATGACGGCGGAGAAAATAGAAATATATTGAAGTAAGATAGGAGAAGGCTGTTTAAATGCGAGGGATGCGGAGAGCCTACCTTCGGCATGGAAATATTTGGTTAAGAAATTTACTAGAAACTTCGACCAGAATTAGTACATTGAAGATTTATGTTATTTTTGTTTTATTGTTTTATTTTAATTTTTATATATTCTTCCGTTATTTTTTCTCTTGTAAAATTTTTGATTTAAAATTTTTATGTTCTATTCATGGAACATTTACGTTCCATTTTAGTTTTCGACCTGAAGATGGCCTATTAACTAGGCTGAAAACGTTTGTTTTTTAAAATTATATTTATTTCTCGGAAAAAAAGATGCAGCAAAATGCTTTTGTATCATTAATTGTTGTAAAATTTTCTCATTAAGTAATATGGGAAAATGTGCATTACTATCACATGCAAAAAGTTCTAGTCATGTTGAAATAAAAAGATTGAAGTTGGAACAAACTTCACTGATAAGGTTTTTAACCCCAACAAATTCAAACTTTTCTAATAGTCAAAAAAATGTGTGTGAAATGGCTTCTGTTGTGGAAGATAGATCTAAGATCAGTAATGAACAGTCTCTCACCAAATCAACATTTTTTTAGCAGCACATTGACACCTTTTGTGATAAAAATGATGTAATAAAAGCAGAGATAACTTGGGCATTGGCAGTTGTAAAGAGAAAGATGTCACTCAGTTCATGCTCTGATATTAAAAACATTTTTAAAAAAACATTTCCTGACAGTGCTATAGCCACACAATTTCAATTGGGTCCAGATAAAGCTCCCTATATAATAAATTATGGCCTAGCCCATTATTTCAGAGAAAAATTGATTGATGCTGTTACAAGTTGCAATAATATTACTATCTCCTTTGATGAATCACTAAACAAAGTTGCTCAAAGAACTTTAAGTCTTTGAGCAACTGGACAAGAGTAAAGATAAGGTTATGACCAAATATTTAAATAGTGTCTTTCTAGATCATAGTACAGCAGATGATTTCTCTGAATTTCTCAATGGCCTTTCAGACATTCATCTTGATCTAGCAAAAATTCTTCATATCTGTATGGATGGACCAAATGTAAGCATAAGTTTTCTAAATAAATTAGAAGATCACATGGAGACACAGAATGTTGGTAAATCATTTGTCAGAATGGGAACATGTGGTTTACATGTAGTCCTGGTGCTGTAAAAGCTGGTTTTAAAGTAGTAGATTGGAATTTTTACCATTGCTACAGAATTTGTACTATTTGCTAAAAGACTCACCCACTCAGTGTGCTGAACATAATCTTCTTCCACATTGTTATAAGTGGAAGCAGATTATTTCCCAAAAAGTTTGGTTCAACAAGATAGTTGGAGAATGGAGTGCTTAGAACCTGCAGCAGTTGTTGAATCAAGAATTTAGCCATCTTTGTCTTTCAATTTTGTACTGTTGTTTATGTATGTCTATACATAAACAACAGTACAAAATTGAAAGACGGAAAGATGGCTAAATTCTTGAGACAGGCACTCAATGATCCCTTTATTAAAGTTAAACTTTTATTTTTTTCAGTCAATATGTACACAAAGTGAGAGCTTTCTCACCCGATTTCAGAGCAACAAACCTCTTGCACCCTGTAAAGCACAGGTTCTCAAACTTATTTCGACCACTGCCCACTTTGAGATTAAAAAAATCTAGTGCCCCCATATTTTTTAACTTACACAACAGATGGTAATGTAAAAAGGTATCTTAAAAACAGTTATTGCAAATATAATGTTTAAACATGCATTATTATATGGATAGGATAGATAGGGTGTGACCCATATTCTATTTTTGAGAAAAAAGAATGTTTCAATGAGAAGAAATAAAACTCATATTTAATCACTGAGCCTTCTACTCCTCCCTGAAAGCCTCCAGTGCCCATAAGGGGGCGTTATTATCCACTTTGAGAAAGGAAGGTGTAAAGTATTGACCTCTTAGTAGAGAGGGAACAAAAGAAGTGCAACCTTGTCAATTGGATCCGTGTGCAGTCGGGCAATATATCACTTGTAAGGTGTTGACTTGTAAACAGAGGGAAAACAAAGGAAGCATCGACTTTGTCAATTGGACCCACCTGTGATCAGACGATAGACCATTTGCCATATGGTAAACAACTGAATGTAAACAAGTGGCGGGCGTTACTGTAAGCTTGACTGTCGTCAGATTAACAGTGGACCTAGGTTAAAGCTGTTTGGACAAGAAAGGTTTGTGATTGGTCGGAAGTTTCCGTCCAAAAAACCCTTAAATTGCGGAACGAATGAGAGAGGGAGGAGAGAAGGGCAAGAGACTAGTACGCGTTAGTCTCAGGCACTTGGGAAGCCCACTGAGCGTAGAGAGAGTGTTCTCCTCTGGTAAACATCTCAGGGATGGGTTAGTGCAGAGACTGGACTTGATCGTGCAGTTGAACCAACTCGACCAGCTGATTGAGGCCTCTCAAAAGTTTAACAGTTCCTGGAAACCAATCTAGTACATGAGTCACCACGCTTTGTTATCCTGCATATACTATGTTTTCGAACTTGTACATTCTGCATATAGAATCTGTAAATAAACTGTAAATATTGTTAATTTGAGTGTGGAGGTGTGCTTTCCATCGAATCTGGATCACTACATCAAATCGTGATACACAAGGAAACCAATCCAACGAGATGGAATTTGGGAAAGAACTTCACTAAGATCTTCACTAACCCTATTTTTATAAAGCGGTTGTTCAATTATTAATGAATCTGATGAGAAAGTTTATGAAAAATGTCAGGGTCACTGACAAGCAGTTTCTAAAAATAGATTTAAATGCTAATGAAAACTTGGTACATCTGAAGAATTTGGATATTGGTTTTGGAGCAAAAAAGGTTTTAAAAGGATTGAAAGTAAGCAGCAAAGATATTTTGTGTTTCTAAGAGATTATCGAATGTACTGAAAGTAATGACACAAAAGATTATTGAGAAGGGGCCTGTCAAGTACAAATGTCTGAAGGCTTCGAAANTATCACAT